ATGATGTCTCACTTTTGTAGTTTAAAGTGTAGGATTTTGATGTATACTTCTTCACGATCTCTTGGAAAGACTCACAACAACATATCTAGGGCCTGCCTCTCTTGCCTTCCCACCTGGTCCTGAGATTCCTAATGTACAGGAGAGTATTGCTAATTTGATGAAGATTTCCCTAATCACTGTGAGCAGTGAGCTGGAGCCTTATTTGAGGGTAGCATAACAGCGAGACCCTGCAGGTATGGGATATGGTTACAGTGGTATTTCAGGGGATTCACAAAAACACATACATGAATATGCCAGAGCAGTCCCATTGGTGATATGCTTCTCAAGCCATTAGATCCCTCTGCCTGATTCCATGCCACCAGAGGGAGGAATCACATTGACTTTCAAAAGTGGGACAGTACACAGCCACAAAAATAAATTCATCAGCTCCCCGTGAGATTGCAGCTTTGTGGATACCAGGAAAATCACAAGTTAGGGCATTTGGAGATAGAGAGCTTGGGACACTGTGTACTAGCATCGCAAATTACAACATTAAATATTTCTGAAAAAAAATCAGGAGTATTAAATCCAGAGCAGATGCTGAGGGACAAAGAGCAGGGCAGAGCAGGTTACAATTCTGCTTATGGATTTAACATCTCATTCTTTCAGTGGCCCTAATAACTGCCAAGAGTTTACAGAAACCAAGATAAACCATCCCATTTTATAAAACTGCCAAGGGCAGGCTCTGGAAACAGATTGCTTCAGTCCAAGTTTTGAATTAATCTACTCTTTACATCACTACCTCTTGATTTATTCCAGATACCACAACGGCACTTCAAAGATAACAGCCATTAGGTCCTCCCTTTTTCTGGATCAGGGCTTATTCAGGCTACTAAAGTGGATTAGTAAAAGTCATGTTTTGATTGCACCTGTTTGTTTTTACAGGAGGATGTAATTGGCATCCCTGATTTAGTAAGTCCCTTCTGCCATGCTTTTTTGTTTTGTTTTGGGTTGAGTTTTGTTGGGGTTTTTGTTGTTGTTGTTTGTTGGGGGTTTTTTGATGGCTTAATTCGGAAGGTAAGATTGTTAGAACCTTCCCATCCTTTGCTTGACCCACTCCTTTCACTGTACTTAACAGAGGTGAAAAATTAGCTGGCACATTACTCAGGGTGCTTCTGAGCTGTTGAAGCTCCGGCCCAGCCAGACGTGTCAGTGCAGGACCAGGCATTCCCCCACTGCGTCTTTCTTCCTCGTACTGGACAAGTGTGCTGATAGCAAAAGCCACCTGTTTGACCACCAGTCCCTTCTGCTTCTGTCTCTGGAACCAAAGGAAAATGTGGGCATCGGAGAACTGGAAGTTTTGAAATAGCAGGCTAGACAAAAATTTTCCTGGGATATTTTTGAAGGGCTGAGCCTACTTTTGAGTAGCTTGTGGTTTAGAGGACTTCCTGAGTAGTTTGAGTAGCTGGTGGTTTAGACGGCTTCCTGAGAACCTTTCTAACCCTATTTTTGATGTGACTCCTTGAGAGCAGCCTTTTTACTTTGCTTTTACTGTCTTGATCAACTTCTCTCCTTTTAGCGAAGGACATTAGCAATGAGCAAAGGTCATACAGGCACTGTGGTCAGCACGATAGACCACATCACCCTCCTGTGGAGATACTGTGTGCAGCTGTGATGGTACGATGCTGAAACATAGAGTTATCTGTTTGCCTAGGACACTGCAGCCGTTGCTGTGTGCACTGTCAGCTGAGAACCAGGCCTCATCCCTGTAGACAGAAGTGTAAGCAGTGCATCACTCCACAACGTTCATGTGGAGAATCACACTGCAGCGCTGGGTGGGTTTCGACAACAAAGTACATCATCTTCCCTTCTCTGCAGGGAATTGTCTTACAAATTCCCACTTTGCCCTTGAGGCTCTCCTTTCACAGTCTCTCCCTAAGCAGCTGTCTGCTTATGACTTTTTTCCTCTTAGCTCCCAGTAAGGCTGTCATTCACAGCCCGCTCCCCGCTTCTCTCATGGGCAACTTCGCAGTTTCCTCTTGTCAGCAGAACATCTTCCCTGAACTGACAGTCACCTCCTCCACGGCTCTTTTTTTGCCCCCACAGACGTCTAGCAAGGCACTCGTTTGGCATCCCAGCTTTTAAGTCATTTCTCCAAGTAGTCATTAATGATGTCAATAATGGGTATCACTTCTGTACAAACACAATATCCAGCCTTGCACAGACTTTGCCCTCTTGTTCATAGTTGAAGTATGCACTCTTGTTTGGGTTTTTTGTTTTGTTTGGGTTTGTGGTTTTTTTCTCTCAGAAAAGTTTCTTCCAGGCCATGTCACTCGCTCGCCACTGTAAATGAGCACCTGCAAGGGCTTGTAGCCGCCTTTTTTGTGGAGAAAGAGCACCTGACACAACATGGATACAAATGATGTGTTTCAAACATTGTGAGGTCCTACAGCCAATAATGTAAATATTGAGTGTATCTAGTGTTTTAGAATAACCTTTATCTTTTTACATTACATATCTGCTTTTTTATCCATTTGGTTTTGCTTTCATTTTGTACTGATTATATGTTTTGTAACGCTTGAATTTTCCATGCCCTAATTGTATTGAACTGTTCTTTCTTGACCAAATTTTATTCAGTCTCATGAAAGTCATTTCAGACTCTTCAGATTCCTTGAGCCCTCCATGTTCCTTGCTGATACCAAGGTTATACAAAACACGAGCACCAAAACAACTTGCTTATAATTCTGTTCTGCCTTTTTTGAATTGCAGATATTTTCCTTCTTCTTTAGTAGTTATTAAGCTGACCACTTTGTAATTGTAAGAATGTTTCATTTAGTCTACGAGAAAATTAGAAATAAATTTTACAGGATTAACTGACTTAACAGAAGCCATGCAACAAAATAAATGCGCTTTACTTTGGCATTAAGGTAGGAACCCTGATATAATGGGAATAGAGACAGAACCACAGTACTTCTTGATGTTTTATAAGAAGCTACGGAAGAGAAGTAGAGTAACTGTCCTGGTTTCAGCTGGAACAGTTAATTTTCTTCCTAGTAGCTGCTATAGTGCTGTGTTTTGGATTTAGTATGAGAATAGTGTTGATAACACAGTAATGTTTCAGTTATTGCGAAGTAGTGCTTACGTGAAGTCAAGGACCTTTCAGCTTCCCATGCTCTGCCAGTGAGGAGGTGCAGGAGAAGCTGGGAGGGAGCACGGCCGGGACAGCTGACCCAAACTGGTCCAAGGGATATGCCTTCCCATATGACATTGTGCTTAGTGTATAAACTTGGGGGATTGGGCCAGGGGGTAGCGATCACTGCCTGGTCAGCAGGTGGTGAGCAATTGTACTGTGCATCAGTGGTTTCATACAGAATTGTTATGACTGTTTTCCCTCTCCATCATCTTTTTTCCTCCTTTGCTGTGCTATTAAACTGTCTTTATCTCAACCCAGGAGTTTTATATTATTTTTTCCATTCTCCTCCCCATCCCACTGCGTAGGGGGGAGCAGTGAGCAAGCCGCTATGTGGTGCTTCGTTGATGGCTGGGGTTAAACCATGACAATAATGTCTTTGGTGACTTTCCAAAGACAATGGGAAGAAGAAAGAATGCTGGGTGGGCTTTTTGCTCACTTGTTATCTCTTTTTTGTGATACACTAATTGTATCACAATTTGGTTTCTAAACTGTCAGTCAGGTACATTATGGCCAACGACAATCTATGTCATACCATACTTTCTCTTACTGCTGAGTCTTTTGGGGCAAATTCTCACAAATTAAACTGTGGTCCAGGGCACTGAGAATTTTCTTCTAATAATTTTTTAAATTATTAGAATATTGAAGGAAGGACTACCAGGCCTCCTCAGTAGGAGAAAGCCCCTCAGCATGACCAGGTCCTGGCGGCTAATGAAAATGGTGAGCAGGGACCAACTGTAAGGTTCTGCCCCAGTAAGTCTGGAGAACAAGGCAGGTTTGTGTGTGTTACAGTGAAGTAATTCCTCCAGCTCTGGAACAGGAGCCTCTGAAAGTCCTTCCATGTGTAACCAGCTCCTTATGCTGCAGCTGGTACAAACCACAATCAAAGCCCATCCAGAACTTGAACATTGCTTTGGTTTCCTTCTAGGGCAGGTTCTCTGTTATTTTAACAACAAGGTTCTTGACACAGCTTGTCTCAGGGGCCTGGCTTCTCTACCTGACCATCCATCTTGTGCAGCTTGTAATAAATTATCTTTAAAGCTCTTCTTGCCTCTGTCAAGATTTGGTCAAAATAAGCCAGAATTTCTGAAGTTATACGAGAGATGCAGTGGTACAATGTTCCCCTTGTTTCCATGGGAAACACTGTTAATAACCTCCAGATAGCACAGCCTGAGTGACAGGATGATACATGAGCCAATCCACCAGCTGTTTTTGACATCTTGCCAACTACAGACATTAACTCTTGAGTGAGCAACATTCTTGAACTATAGCTATGCTTTCACACAACAGTGCTTTCAGGCATGATCACACTGGCTTATGGGGATCTGCAAATATCTCAAAGAAGGTCTCCTAGGTGGGGCGAGAGGAACTGTGGTAAAATGGAAGCAGGAGGGGAGTGGCAGCTGCAAGGCCATACAGCTATTACCTGCCTCTCTAAGTTGGGAGCACTGTCTTGGGTAACAAATACTGAAGATTCACACTTTGTTCTCCCTTATGTACTCACTCCGACCGAGCTTTCTGGATTTGTGGAAACACAGGCCACTTGTTTTTAGCCATTTCTTGCTACTTGTCCCTGTCGATTCATGGGCTTGCAGTTTTCCAAGTATTTGCTCTACTTGCAAAAAATAAGTTTGCTCAGCAAAGTAGCATCTATCTCATTAATTGATGGTTTTCCATGTAATGCAGTCTCACTCCTCCTCTAAGAGTCAGAACTGCTATTACCTGTGTAAGGGAGAAGTTATATATATATATATATACTTATATATATATACTTACTATACTTCAGGGCATTATACCATATTCCATATTCTTCGCCACAAACACAATGTAGGAAAAGGCAAACAATATTTATTCCGAATATAATTTAATGTTGCAGAGTATTACATGCTTTCCATAAACATTCAGAATACAGAATTCAATGAAGATGGAAAAAAAACCCCAACACCACTCCTTACATACTGAGTTTATAGTGACTGTGAAGTGGGCAAGTGTTTGCCATCACTGAGAGCTAAACATCCTTTCTTAAATAACCTAAAGCTTAACATTCAAGGAATGATGTTTATCATATGCCAATGTGCAGGATCTAAATTATGCTTGACAAAGTATTGCATCCCACTAATTAAACTGCAATACCAATTGAAACTAAGGACTAGGAACCCACTCACTTCCTGCCAGCAAGGGAAGAAAGCATTTTTGGGGCTTTAAAACCTGAGGGTGCAAATACCCTAATTTACACTCCAACATATTACGCTACTTGTGAGCGTGTCCATTCGTCTGTGTGATCAGGGAAGGCAGTGCACAAACCCCTCTGTATGCCAATCACATACTTCTTTGGGTACTAATGTTATCGTGAACTGGAGCCTTAGTCCAAAGTGCAATCTGTAAAGCTGTGAATCTGGTAAAAACTGCATGTTTTTTTCTTTTTTGAAATAAATGTAGCTTTTGTCAGAACATATAAGTTAGTATTAATTTAATGTAAAGTGCAGTAGCTACATCTAAAAGTGGTGGGCTGCTGTTACAGTGGAATACTCCCAACCAGTTCTACAGGGCAGCTTTGAATATCAGATAGTGATTTTTGTTCACAGAATGTCCTATGAAGAGTACAAAGGCTAGAGGTTACTTAATAAAAATACAGGAGATGATTCTTGGCCTTTACCTGCATTCATTCACCTCTGCAATAACTGAATGCACTAGTTCCATTTTTTAAATTATAAAATTACTTCTTTGTTAGCAGTCAGACTCTGCAGAGCAGAAGACAGCAGTTGACAGCAGGTTGATTAGAGCCCTTTAAGTCAGAGTTGCTTTCAAACAAAATATTCAATAGGAAGGCTCAAGTCATTTTGAATAGTACATTATGTCTGCAGTTACTAATTTCCCCAGCAATACTGAAAATAACTTATTTACTGTAACACAATAATTTAATGAACAATATAGAAAAGTCTTACTCAAAGTAGGACCATGTCAGGAATCAGCAAACTTAGCTGGGTTCCAGCCAGCAAGCCTGTCTGTAAAAGGATCTAATCATAAGAGTTTTAATACCTGAGAAGTTTTTGAAACTGAGCGTTTCATAATTAGGAAGAGAGGAAGGAAAAGGAGAAAGCAGCTGTGTTTCAAAGAGTAACAAACATTACTGCATGAATTTTTACAAACAAGTTTCATACAAAAATTATATGACCGCTTGTCCAAAAAACACATTTCTCAGACAAATCTAGTTGTAAGTGGTATAAATCTGCATTGTTCCCTAGACAGATTTAGCTGCTTTTATGATCTGTCAGTAAATCCGGCAGCTACTTACCCGCTTTGAAGTTCTCAAGAAGACAGTCCTATCTCCCACTAACAACTTTAAGTGTAACAACATACACCTCAGCTCTTGTTTTCTAAGCATAAATTTGAATACAAAAGTTATCTGAAACATTTTACAATACTTGAAAGTTAGGTCACCCCAAAGTTCTTGTTAAAAGCCACTTTCCTAAAGATGATACTGTACAAAGTACATTTTCATATTGATAAAAAACAAGTACAACACGAGACTTATTAGCAAAGCACAGAGGAAATGGTATTTCCTGGTCTAATATTCAAAAAGGAAATATCACTTTATTAATAAAAGTGATTAATAAAAAAGCCTTAACCCATCCAAAGCCTTAACCCACTTACAGTGGTGATATTAAGTGTAATGTAAGCAGACCTTATTTTCTTCAAGACTGCAGCTATTAGCAGGTACAATTGCTAATATTTGAAAAAAATGCCTGCACTTTGCATCATTTTTTAAACAGACGTAGCATAAATTGCTTGCAAGAACCATAGCCGTTCCTGAACCTCAAACTCAAAGTATAACCTTAAAACTAAGTGGATCTAGACATCTCTTAGCTTTACAAAACAGGCTGAAAACAAACAGAAAATGCAAAGACTCAATGTCACATTTCACTGCTCACTGAAATTAAGTCTTCAGCTTGGTTTTTAAGTGGTTATCTACTTTTTTCCCCCGGTATAACTAGCAGAGCACTGGACTATTGTTCATGTCACTTTGCAATGCATTGGTTATAAATTAACTCTTAAATTAGATGTACAGCTAGGCACGTATGAGTTTTTATAGTTTAATAACACTGTCAATCCATGCTGGCCTGAGCTCTTATTGAAGTTAATATACACACTTCTATGTGAGATTCAAATTCAAGACAAAACGTGCCCGCAGAGGTAGAAAGGGATTTCTGTGAAGTTTCTGTAAGAGGGAAATACGCAGCATATAAACGTCCACAGGTCAGTTGAAATACAGAAAAATTCAAAAAACCCTTTAACTCCTATTTAGTTTTAGGAAGTGAATCTTCTGACAGTTATTCTTGCATTTACACTGCCTAACTGCACCGATCCCTTTACTCAGTTGGAAATACTTTGCACCAGTACTCTTGTTGTACTTGGGGATGCAACCACATACTCTGTGATCCAACCTGATGTACAGCCAGGCTCCCCGTGTTACGCTCCAGGCTGGGAGGAGCACGTGCTTTGAGCACACTCTTGTGGCCATGTGCAACCACACCAAAATCAGAGCTGAGGGCACAAGATGGCATGCAGGCATCGTGGATGGGCTTCTCTTGCAAAGAAGGCCTTAAGCCAGAAGTCACAAAAGAAGTGAATCAAGCACCAGAGGTGACTGGCTGCAGAAACATCATTCCTTGACCCTGGTATTTGGAAAGAGCTTTTATCAAGAGAAATGCTACATTGAAAACACAGTGCAAAACAGAGCCAACCAACAAAACTAGTGGTTAAGTGTTCTAGAGCCTCCACCTTCCTGCTTCGTCTCTCCTCTCCACAGAGGAGAAAGAACACCCTTGCCTCCTCTTTCTATGACACCTGAAGTGCTGCATATCTTAGGAAGAAGATAAAATACAACCCTATTCATTTATCATTATATAAATACTGTCTGTACTGGAATGTAAGTTGAAACTCCATCCCCATTGCACGGCCAACTTCATGTGACCTTCACAGGTGACTTCTTGTGTGCGCAGAGGAGGGTGACGTAGGGAACCCCAATGAATGCCCATCTTTCACTGGGCCAGAATTTTATGACAGGCCCCTGCTCAGGGATCTCAGAGGCAGCATCGAAGTAAGCAAAGCAGACACAGCCCAGGTATGCCGCAAGGCAAATCAAAATGTGCCTGAGAACAGACCCAAAAAAAAAGAGAAAAAAAATCAGTAACATGACTTCAGCAAAGCAATCAAATATATCACCATGCTTTAAAATCCGTCTGTCCCTCACTTTCTTCCCCTAAGTCCCCCACAGGGTTGCTGCCTGCCCTTTAAATGCAGGCAAAGGATACAGAGACTAAGGAAAACTACAAAACCCTAGCTTTTCCTTGGTCTAATCTGGCTACAGCTTTTTGGCCTTCCTGCACCTAAGAGATTTGTGTAGAAACACTGAGATATGTCACCTTGAATAAGAGAGCACAAGTTGCTGGGCAGTAAAAAAGAATAGGCACCAAAGCCCTTCACTGCTCCCCCACTTCACTCAGTTGTCAACAGTGGAAGTTTAAGCTTTCACAGTCACTGCTTCAGTTCAGCAGTTCTGTGGGATTTTTAGTAACCAGCAGGGCAAGGAATTCAGTTACAAGTAATGAACTTAGCATCTGAAGAATCTCATTAGGCCAAAGAAACTCCCAGATCTGCCACCTCGGACAGTGTGACACTTGCTCCAGGCTTATAATCTTACCAATAATTCTAACTAGCACTAACCAGAAACACCCACCAGGCAGCACAGAAGGGTAACGTGGCAAGGACGTATCCCATTTAAATGAAACTGTGGAGTTTATACATAAGACTTACCAAACACAGTGCAAATAGGGGAAGTTAAATGAGGACCAGATCTCACAAAATGCTTTGTCACTGATCCAGCAGAAAAGTGCTAGCATCCACCAAAGACCTGAAAAGAGACCCAGTTTGTACACACGCAGATTTTCACACCTGAGGAGAAAAACACAAAGAACTTATTATTAAAACAAAAGAAAATTTACTTTGTAATGGCAGCTTAATGCCTTCTGGATGTATGTATTTTAGGGTAGGATTCATAGGGCCAAGGACACATCTTTAAAATGGCTCCACCATAAATGTCCTTAACAGATGAACTTTACTTACAGTAAATATGACTGATGCAAGGCAGTGGTGAGGCGACAAAACAAATCTTTTAATCAGTGGCTGTGTTTTGGATATTGTCTTAAATACTACTGGGCAAACTTCAAAGCATCTCCATGTCTAGGGAGGGTATCTAGGACAACTAGAGATGAGTTACACACACTGTCTGTTAACAACCAGCCACACAGCAAGTGCTCAGATTTGTTGTATTTGTCACTATACAAACATCTGTAAAAATAGAACTGGATTTTTTTTCAATGGTTAGTTGATTTTTTCCCCCTGCAAGTTTGTATTGTACAGAGTAATAGTTACAGAAAACTTTTAAGGCAGGAGCCTCTACCCAGAGGGCCCAAAGAAGCATGCTTTACAAGACAGCACAAGCATCCACATCTCAGACAGAATTCCGCATGTTGACTAACAAGCAGTTCTCCCCCTTGAAAAGAAACCTGACTTTTTCATATAGAGATACACCAAAGAGAAACAAAGCACAAAACATTTGCTGTGGTCATGTGCAGTGTGCTCTGCAGTTGAACAGCACTGAATACAACAGCAGATAGCAGGATATTGCCATAATATTACCTGTGCCATAGACCTGTGTTGCAGGTCTACTCAAAAGCTCACGATTTTATTTCCCTGTATGAAGCTTTGTTCTATTCCACATCTTCGAACCATCCTAACAACTGTGCAGCTTTGCTCAAAAGAATAAAATCAGGAAAAAGGAGGCATCAATATAATCTTCAGGTCTCAAATGTTATTAAAGTCACTAATTTGCTGTCTGCCTACACCTGCTAGTTTGGGGTTAGGCCTCTTGGTGCCAGTAGATGCAGCCATGCTGTTACTGATATCTATAAAGCAAAACTAGACTGGGGCATGACCAGCCCTATATGGCCAAGAGAAGGAATGGCTCAGGTTCCCTGCCTTCTGCAAGAACAAAGCTATGACTTGGGATTTCCCCCCCTGCTTTTGCTCATTCTTGTTGTTAAACTCTTGGTGAATTTCCCACAGATCCAAGAACCGCTCGGTGCTCTTGGAAAATTCTTGCTTCAATAAACTGCTCTTCACAGGTCACTGATATGACCTCCCAAAGCACACTACTAACCAGATGACAGACTAATTTGTTTTAAGTCACTTGTTTGAGCTACAACTCAAGAGTAAACCAATAAGCCAAATCTCTACCCAGTATAGCAAGGAATACTCACAGCCTTCATCAGGCCCCTGTCTCCTCCTGCTACATCCTAGGAGGAGAACAAGTAAGTACCAAGTGCCCCACAATCCCTTCCTCTGTTCAAAGGTCTTCAAGAGGGGCTCCTCTAATTCACACTCATCTTCTATGTCTTACACCTCTGCCAAAAGGTTACTGGGAATCTCTCTGCCTCTTCCTCTCCAGCAGATCACCAGCCAGTCTTTTTCTCTGCTCCAATCCAGTCACCCCAGTAGACTCGATGCTGAATCACCAGTCTTCCACACAATTCTTAGGCTCATTTGCCGCATTTGGAAGGTGAGCAATGCCCGGCAAACAGGTCCTTTAGAGGGACACTTCACCTTGTGATACTCAGAAGCAATTAAAATGTGTATCCCTGAAGGAGGGAGTTAGAATGGGCAAACACCTCTTTGCTGTCTGCATTGCAGTAGTATTTATGGTCCCTGGTCTTCTTCATACATGACCGTCCTTGGCAACTGACTAACACAGTGCAACACAGATCAAAAAGCTCTTTGGTCTTTCTGTCTTCCACACAAAATACTTATCAGCCTGAAACCTGTTGTCCTCAGTTGATACATTTACAGACTTTCAATTTTCCGACATTTACTGCTCTGTCCATTGTCACGCACAGCCTACAACCCACAGGCTACCCTGCATCCACTGTCAGCCAAGTAGTAAAGCCAGCTCTGTCCCCAAGCTACAATTTGTCACTGAACCCTCCTCTGTGTGTGAGAAGCTCTCCATCTACTCAGTTGGAGAAGAAAAGGGACAGAGAATAACTTCTGCCTCTCTGTGGTGGAAAAGCAGAACTGCCACCGGTACCGGAGCTTTGCTAAGGGAGCCTCACTAAGAATTAAGAAAAATTTAAAACATACAGAGAGTACTCTGTCCAGGGACAGTTTTCTGAATGTATTGGAGGAGCAGCAATATACCTGGCTCTGGTGTATTGCAAGTTAAAGAATCAGTACAGTTTCCCCTGTAAAATACTTTTTTCACTCTTGAAATGCTATTTCAGTTGACATTTTAACAGCCATTTGGGATTAAGAAACTCCTAAGGCTGAGCAGAAGGCATCTTTACAGCTACGGGATTAATGACAGAAAAGGTACCAACCCCCTAATCTTGTTGACAGGGGATTTTTTCCAGTGTCCTTCGGACAAGTTGGTTTTAGGATCTGGCATTTCTTTTTTTATGCCACCTATAAATAATGTGGTATTCAAAATTATCACACCTATCTTTATTATTCAAAAAAGTGCTTCAACTACTGGTTAAACTGTCATCTCCTCCACAAGAAAGATACCACAATAGTTGTTTTCATAACAAAAACACCCACACAACTGCCACAAAAATTAATATTCCACATGACTTATAAAGCAAAATGCCTTTTTTTCTGAGGCCTGAATCCTCAAACCTATTTGACAAACCACCAAGTCACAGTTAGAGGAGACAGGGCTTGCCCAAGATGACATCAAGATTGTCTGTGCTGCTTACTGTAAAAAAAGACTTGTTTCTCTCAAATAGTGTCTTTACATTTAAAAAGGCTACAATGAACACAAAGAAAAGAAAGGGTAAGGAGATTTTTGAGTGGTCTATCAAATTCCAGACCACAACCATATGAATTCTTCCTTACATTCTTTTATGAGACAACCCAGTAAGAAATACGTCCAAGATTTGGCACAGTTTTATCAGTAAAAATATACTGGTAAATCCTCCTAATTTTGGAGGATTCATGCTTTTACCAAATGCTAAGACAGCACAGACCCCTTCATAAAAGAAGAGGGAAAACTGCTGTTGGTGAAAAACACCACTGTGTTAAGCATACTGGGCTTAATTCTCTCCCATTGATGCTAAGGCACATTTACAGTTTTCAGTGAGTCACTTAACTGTTTGTTAAACAATGTACCTAAGCAGATACATGCATGGATCAATTTTGTACTTTTGACAGGTAAAATTAGACTGCTGCAATGGGTATTTGTGCATTGTGACAGTGGAAAGGGTGTGTGTATTGAAAACATGGAGGCTTCCTTGTCTGAAGGACAAACATGCAACTGCATCCCATTTAAGATAAGAGGCTTGGCCTCAAACATCCAGCTCCTTTAGTCAGTGACCCTGCCTGTCAATATTTCACTAGTTTGAACACCAAGACAATTAACCTGCATGGTTCAAAGAATTGAAGGCTGCAAAGGAAAACAGAAAGCTTACTTGAAGAAACTTTCCCAACACAAGACCAGCCGTAGAAACAGTACGGACTGTAATAACAAGTTTGCTCAGTAGCACCATCAGTTATTGCAATTTATTTTTATAAATTTAAGACTAGATGCTGCAAGATATAGTGCAAAAGACTACTCTAAGGCAGAAAGTCAAGCACAACAAGAACAGCACAGCCTGATGATCTTCTTTTCTGGGTTCTGCTTTCTGTGATCACCATCACAGAGTCTCCAGTTCCTGCAGTGACTCTCCTTCAGATGGACTGAAGACACACTTGCTGAGGACTTTGCAGGGACTGCAAAGCCTCCTACCTGCCACTGCTTTTACCACAATGAGGAGATGTAATACAAATACCACATGGACACTCGCAGCAGACATGGATGCAAGCCATTTCTTTTATTTCTCAATGGATATGGATAATGATCATCTAAACTACCACTGAAACAGAACCTGTCAGCTGAGGGTCTAGAAGAGCTGTTCACACTGCTGTGTGCAGATCTGTGATGTGCTCCCACCCTACTATATTCTGAAAGAAACTGGACTCTGCAAAGCTTGCATTTCCATTTGTACCTTTTGCCTATACAGTGCACGGTGCTCTTGGTTTAACACAAACAGCAGTTATTTAAATACGAGAGGTTCTGCAAACACTGGTGTGCCCCAGCTGCTTGCTATATAGAATCATAGAATGGTCCAGGCTAGAGGGGACCTCTAAAGGTCATCTAGTCCAATCTCCCCACAGTCAGCAGAGACACCCCCAACTAGACCAGGTTGCCCAGGGCCTCGTCGAGCCTCTCCTTGAATATCTCCAGAGAAGAAGACAATATTATCTCCTCATCAAGGACAAATGAGGCAGAAAATTCTCCTTTGAAAACACAGTACTTCTGATCTACCAGAATTCTGTACAAGACTGATACCAAGCTAGAACAGGCATAACAACTGGGAGTTTTGGTCTAACACATCACAAACTTCAGCACAGAATGTAAGAAATTACTTTGGAAGTTTTTCTCCTTCCTTCCCCAAATACCTGTTTCACAGATAGCTCGGATGCGTAGCACCCTTCTGACTGTGGCAATAGAGAATTGGAGGCTTACAGGCCTTTTAAATAATGCTTAGATTATTTTTTCTTCTGCAAAAAGGGATGAGATGGCTCCTCTCCTCTCAGTTTACAAGAATATATCTCATTTAATATATCTCATTACAAGAATGTATCTCATCTCAATGTATTATTAAGAGGGCCATATGTCACTTTAGGTCCCTTTTAATCACCAATTCAAAAAACGGTTTATCTGTGTCCTTAATTCTCTCTCAAAAAACAGACAGGGAAACTCTACCCATTTAATAAAACATGACTTTTCAGAAGGAGTTTTAAAAAGCAAATATCTGTAGGCATATCAATTCCTAGATTTGACGGAACAGTATTCAAACTTATGAGACACTAGCTATTTGTCTTTTTAAGTTTCTCAGAAGCTCATGCCTGGAAAACTGATATGTAGAGAGTTCACTTAAATTATTCAGTGCCACAACCAGATCTCCATTTGCCCTGTCAGTAGTTCTTCAGTGCTTTCATCAAAATGAGACACCTTCACCAACGTTATTCAACTTCTTTATCTACAAAGAACTTGTGCGCTGTTTCCTGAGTTTCTTTGACCACAGAAATAAACGCTGCTCAGCGGGATGTCTAATAAGAAAAGGCTCATGAATGCCTTTACAAAACATTGTTAGCAGAGGCTTCCACCGTATGGAGAAGCAGTAGCAGCATAGGGTAAGGTAGCAAAGAGGAGAACCTCTGTGCTAACAGCAGTCAGAATGCAGACATACTCTTGTTTTTTTGGATGGACACTTACACGTGCAATATCTAAGAGCCAACATAAGTTGTAAAATCTTTCTCAGACACTGGAGAAGAAGAGGAAAGGACAAGTTCATATGCTGGTACTCATCTGGTCCTTTTTGCAGCATGTGAAGACATGCAAAAAAAAAAAAAAAACAGGGCTCTGGAAAGCTGCCAGCATCACTATCATGGTGAGACTCTTTAAAATGTTATGATCAGTCTCGGGTTCTTCTCTATTTGCATCCTGGTTTTATAGTTTCTAAGGCCCTGACTGATAGCTATCCTCTACAACCTAGTGATTAACTTTATCTTCGTCAGTCTGACTCCACCATATTAAAGAGAGTGGTGTAAGATTCACAGTACAACTTTTAGAGCTGGAACATCTTCCGTGTGTGCTTGGGCCTTGCTACACATTCCCTCTAGTATGCAGACTGTGACCATGCGATCACCTCACCCTTATGCAGAGTATAGAGCAGAAATGCTCTCAGTACAGTGAAACCCTTGCCCTGATTCCATAATAAACACACTGAGTTAGGTTGCAGCAAGAGGTATGTCGCAAGAAGACAGACAATATCTGACCTAGTATAATGGTATAGGGAAAAAAAAAAAATCCTTGCCAAAAATGTCTGAGCTGGCAGAGCAAGTTTGTATCAGATCTGTGCCTGCATGTGGAGGAAGTGTTTCTGATCTGCTACCACAAGCACTGAAGCCAGATCTAGCACATCATCACGCGATGGGCTAAGGATGTCAGAAGGCAATGCTGCATTCCGGACACACGTACTCACCTCTTCAACTCAGCAATGAGCAGAGCTGTGCAGGGAACACCTAGAGTCATCAGTGAGATATTGTTGATGGCAGGTTTAATGAAGGCAAGGCAGGTAGTAACTCCAGACAGGACACCCACAGCAGCTTTAAATCGGCTCCTGAGTAAGGGTTTTGAGGAAGAAAAACTGCTTTTAATTCAAAACTTTTAATTACTAAACACAGAAATCTTAAGATTATTTCAGTAATGTAAAAAAATTCAGGTTTCTCTAGGCATCTCTAGGCATTTTGGTACAATACCTAAAATGGATGTGACAGTGTCAGTGGTAAGGTTGGATGATAACTCAGTGCCATTACATGCAGGTTTAAGTGTTAGCATAAGAAGTTTCAAGAAACATGAAAGTGTACCTGTACGATTGTATGATTACCTGTCATTTCGAAAAACTCTGGGCAGGTATCTCCTAGGGAACCACATGGCAAGAGCACACATCAGGACCCAGAGAATAGCCAGCTCATCCAGCATCTGGCCCAGGAAACTGAGGGTGGCATGAAAGTAAACAGATCCAATTCCTGGAAGAATCAATCAAAAGGCAATATGAACAGTTGCAATACTGTATAGACCAAAACACACTGCTCATGTTCAGAACTTCATAGCAAATGATGGATGCCATTTGGTCTAGAAAAGGTTAAAAAAGAACGAAAACTGGAAAACAAATGCCAACTTTCCTAAGGCAGCAATCCAAATCAGCACCTCATTAATTACAAAGTAAACACATTACAAAAGCAGCAGCTAAAGATGCCGGCTCCTACTAGAATGTATGTGAAAAAACATCAAGTGGTGAAGTTAAACATAAAACCAATTAAGAAAAAAAAGCTGCATGCTGCTTCTCAATTTTCTCAATAGTGTGAGAATAGGTAAGACAAAGATGAAGAGCAGCATCTGAGGACTAGTCCATGATATAGATTTACAGATGGAAAGTGTCGAACTGCCCTATAGCGCTCCAATTATCCCTTTAAAGGTTCCCAGTGCCTCTAGGAATGAAAAAGCTTAAGAATCTTACATCTACAAAACAGGTAAGGCTTTGGGCCTTCTCACTACGATGCAAATTGTGTTATCCTCTTCAGCTGTTCTGGGCACTTTCAGCTCTCATTTAAGCAACAACAGAGGAAGGAGGGTCAGCACTGATGTAGAGTGAGCCCAGACACAAACAAAAGAAGTTATGCAAAGGAAAGACAGGAAGGGAACAGAACTCAGGCCAAAGTTCCTACCAACCTCAAACTGCAAAAGGCATCTTCCTTTCAGAAACTGTGTCTGCTTCAGCTTCAAGCAAGTACAAGTGAACTCCTCCTTAGACGTCAGGATTGCTTTGTTTTGCAAAACAAGCAAGCATTTCCTCTCAGTGCATGCATGAGCAGGCAAACAGAGACTATCCAACTTACCAACCACAACTAGCAGAGTCCATATTAAATATATTCCACTGTTGAAGCAGGTTGCGTATTGACGGAACAAGCACATACATATGGGTGGTAAAACAAAAAACAAGATGTTGCTTATCTAGGGGAAAAAAAAAAAAGGTATCACAAGGACAGAAAATAAACAAACCTTAAATATATCCTGTTTTTGCAAAGCATCAACTTGTTTTGTTTAATATCCTTAAATTAATAACAGCATAAAAAGTTTAAGCAACGTAAAATGTGGCTAGTCACGTCTTTAAATTACCTTTCAAGTCTATTCTCAGAGGAATTTTATTGAGAGCCTACAAATACTCAAGACTGTTGCAATCCCGGAAGCCTACATGAGCAAGTGGCTGAGGAACAGGACGTCCTGGCAAGCGATCTGTCTTCTCAACAGCTGTCAAGCCTAGCAAAGATAAAGCACTAGAAATACTGGCACTAGACGGGGTTAGCCAAGCTTTATCCAAGTCAAGCCACTGAGCAATAGTTATTGTCTGGAACATCTGAGATTCAAAGTTAAGCTGTAAGAGTTAGAACCCTTTTTGTGCATGGTAAAGAGGCTGAAGCCATAAATTCTTTTAGACTTCATTTTTTCTCTTGGTTCTCTATTACAGAAACAACTGAATATGATGGAAAACTACTTATAGGAAGGTGAAAAGGCTGGCAATTCAGACCATTGCTAGTTTTTTATTTATTTAATACGTAAGAGTTGAATAAAGGCATATTTTTCTCTTGCTTACCAAAAATCCAAAACATGATTCTCTAGTTTAAGGCTAAAAATGCTTTCCTGGCAGGTAACAGGAGCTGTTGCTTTTGTTAACACTTGGCTCTCATGCGAAGGAGCTGCTAGTGCTGAGGGCCTGCCATGGCACTACAACTGAGCACTTGTGGAAACATGATTCTGCTGCTGCTTCAGAATGGGACAGGATGAGATCCGCAGCCTAAGCTTCTGCATGTTCCCCTGCCTAGATCAAGCACAAGAGAAAATCATCCCAACAAGACTCCCCTACAGCAAACACAGAAAACAGCTCTGGGAAAAGAACACTCCTTTGGGACTCCTTTGCAGAGACTTACAAACTTTTACTGACAACTAAAAGCTAGTGGAGAAAGGATTCAAGAACAACGTATGAAGAAGGCATTTGTTCGTTCAGCTACTGTTGTCCACTGCTCAACATGACCTGAGAACAGAGCTTACAATGATTAGAATGGACACATCTCATTAACACTTGCTAGGCTTATCAAACCATACTCCTAGGCTGGCATTCAAAATGACAATAATTACAGAAGCAGCTTCTCAGCACCATCTACTTCATGCCCGACACCCTCCCTCATGCTAAAGGTACATCCTTACAGACAAGCTGCGCTTCCTTCCAAAGCCCTGGCTTTTCAATTTCATTAAAATACTTCGAAAGAGCCACCATCCATGCAGTTTACAGCCACAAATAGCACGCAAATCTCTGCCAAACAGCACCCTGCCCAGCACACCGCACACAGCCCAAGCACAGACTTTAATGCAGAGGGCTGGCTCCCTGCAGTCAGGCCACAACAGCCACCAGTCACACCAGGAAAAGGTGCCAGAGAGCCATCTCCAGCCAAACTGCCCTTTCTGAACTGATGCAAGGGTTGAACCCCGTCGTCAGTTACCAGCTCCTACGGTGTGTTTTGCCCCATAGGAAGCCAGCCTCATATACCAGATGTGAAAAACTTGTGGGGCTAACAACTGATGAACAGTGCCATAGACCAAGCACATTTTTCACTAGGAATAAAAGGGCTATTCCTCTGGAAATCCTTCACTGCACCAAGGTGGCAAATTTTGCCTTTTTTGTTCACAAGATGGTTTTCACTCTCTGGTACCAGCCTGGCTCCCCTTGAGGACCACTGCAATTACTAACACCAACATTTACAAGCAAGCAAGGCGTCTATCCATTTGACTCTGGTTTCAGAAAGTATGTTGCATGTGCAATTTTTTACATAATATGCAATTGGCCTGCACAGCTTGATAATCACGTACAATTCAAATGCTTATACAGTTAAGATTAGTGCAAAAATTAATAATACAAGTACAGAGAATTTCCTTGGGACCTGCAAAAAGCAATGACTAAAAGTTATAGTTCTGGAATAACAGAGCAATAACAGTCCATTCTCTGCCTTCATACAATCATGGACCTTTAGTTTTGATTTCCAACTACTTAATTGTCTGAAAGGAATATAGGACATGGGCCACCGAGGGAATGTCAGAGCTGCTCAGATCACAACCATGTAAGTTCACTCACATCTGGCCACAGTTCTGACACAGGATGTCTCCTGCAGTCCTACCAAAGCTCAAGTACTCTTTACTGAATGCTGTAGCATTCAACCAGCATGGCAACACTCACTGAAACACCTCTTTATGAAGAAAAAGCAAAAATGGACTACATAGTTCTCAGTGAATTCAAAGGCTCTGCATCTTCTACATCCTGATCCATGAGCATGTCACTTACATACACTAGAAGACTTCTGTAGTATAAAAAAAATGATGTAGAGAGAGTGAGAGCATTCTTTCACACCCTTAAGACTATTTGACAGCTTTTTAAACATTTATCTCTGCATCACCAGGAAACAAAAGAAGAGGAATAACAGCACTGGCAATTCCCTCTTTAAAAGGAAATTCATCAAGAAATATGTATTACATGCATACCTGAATGCAACATACTGAACTGCCAAGTTTTGACTTTCTGAGCAACAGAAAAAAAAGTTACTGTTTTCAGGCATTTAGAACATAAACAACAGGTTTTTTTGTAAATACTATTCCACAAGGTAAATTCTTTTGATCTTGTGGAGGCATTTGTTTATGTTCTGGAGGGTTACACTGCATGAGGACACATTTCAGAAAAAAAAAAAAAAAAAGAAAAAGATAGTCTCCTGTAACTATTCTTTCAATTTGAGTTACTAAACGTTTCATGACCTCTTTACTGAAAGAGTGAAAGATGTGAAAACAAAATCACATCAGTCTAGCTCATATATGTTTTAAAAAAAATTAGTCTGATCAGTTTGTACAAAACCTCTGAATAGATATTCTCCTACTGATTTAATCCTGAGTTGAGCATTTTGGTTTGCTTTTTAACTAGATCAAGTTAAATTTATGTATAACAGATGGAGTCCCACCAGAATAAATAAATGAATTTTTAAAAATACATTTCAGATAAGCCGTTCCAGTTTTGTGCTGACATGAATATAGCGTGAGAGCTCAACTGCAACTCTGACCTCAGCTGTGACAGTTTAAAACGTGGATTAGTAAGGTTTTAATCTACAGCTTAAAGACCTAAATGCCAGATTCAGGTCTGCTGAAGAGTCCTTCCTGAAACTTCAAGAGGGTTTGAGTTAGAATTGAACCGTCTTAGAAGAAATAAAATTTAGACTCCACTTAAGGTGCCTGTTAAGAGTTTGGGCAAAATTTCCTAACTCTCCTGTGAACACCTGGCTTTTTGGGGCCACAGTCGCAAAACCCCATCAATCCACTGCGACTCACTGTCTTAATTTTCAGAAGCTGCTATCGCAAGTCAAACCCTTACAATGCCTTGTTACTGATGAAGAGAAGCTAAACACAAGTACCCTCAAGAGAGTCCCTTTTTATCTCCCCTTTTGGTGTACAGCGCACTGATTTGCACACAGCTGCTGCAATACAGCAGGTTTCAGGGCAAACATTTTGCTGTGTCTCTGTCTACCTGTCCAGAACCTCAGTTATTCATCCAGACATACCTGCAGCTCCGAGCATTTTGCAAGCTTCTATACCAATGCTAATCAGCTCAGCTCTGTCGGAAGGACTGCCATACCCCTGTACAGCTGCCTCCAAAACACACTTGCTGTCTTCATGAAACTTGTTTATTCTGACCTTTTCCTCCCTTTGTTTTTGGTTCTTGCACAGTGACATCAGACACAAAGAAAGCAGACAGTTTCCCCCCTACACCCTCCAAGTTCTCCAGTGGCACAGACGAGCCACCACCCAGACAACTTTGGCAGAAAACTACAAGGAAAAACAACAGGTTAGCAATTTACACCGTGTGCCATGGAATTGCTTGCTCTATATGTGCAGCATCCCCCAAGATACACACTCCAGTGACTGAAGCCAGACACCTCCTTCTTTCTTCCACTGAATGTTAGCAGTCAAAGAAACACAGCTTGAAAGGGAAAGACCAGTCAGACAAGGATGGAATTTGGGAGAAAAAAAAACAACCCTAAAAGACCATTTTAAAATACAAAAGAGGCAAAGCCGAAGCCCCACCTCCTCCATCGTGTGCGCACCACCACTACAGAACAGAAACTGGTCAGGGGATTTGCAGGGTTCTCTCCTGGACATCTGTTTTTCATGGAAAGGCTACCAGAAAGTCCGATGCATTATCTCAGTCTGGTGGATCTATTTGTCACTGCAATTCTTTACATCAACAGGAAGTAAGGAGCATTGCTTCGCTTCCAAGATGCATGGTACAGGGCAGTCTGGCTCTGTTGCTGAGGCTATTTCCACAAGTTCTCCCCAGCAGCTGAAAGGTACCGGGATGGCCTGAGAGGACTCGAGGGTGAACCACGGCTTACTGGAAGGAAGTAATAACTACATTAGCCCTCCTCCCTCTCCTTCCTTCCTTCGGTTACTTTCTTAAAGACTTCTCCTCCTGAAAGTGCATTGCTGACTTCATCCTGCAACCTCAAGGCAAATTGTTCTTGGCAGCTTTGCCTTCTTGGAGCCAAACCTACCTGGACGAAACCCAGTTTTTGCCTCCAAAGATTAATGTGTTTGTTCTTTTTTTTCTTGGTCCACCATAGTCTTGCATGCCGTGAAGTGGCTGACACCTGTGCGAGCGGGTACCGGGCACAGGGAACCCAGCACCAGAAGTTCTGAGCGCGGCCACCACAGCACCGACAACAAGGGAGCCTGCTGCGCCCTGTTTACCCAACACCTTACCATAAATCCTCCCTAAACCTCTCCATTATATACCTACGACACCACACCGCTAATTGCTCTTTAATTTTAGGCGCACCAGGGACTGGAGAAGGAAGAAGCAGGCAGTCACAGACGGGCATTCTACAGCCCCATGAAAACCCTGTGTCAGACGGACCTGACAGGCAGCACCAGCCCCCGGGGCTCCCGTGGGACCACCCTCCGGCC